ATGCAAATTAGCCTGCAGTACCACTGCTCTACCCATATGAGCAGCAAAAAGACATTTTTAGACCAAATATTACATATTTGAACAAATACGCACAAAAACATCAAAATTAGCACAGAAACAGTACTATATAACATTTTAGATACATTCTAGACAGTTTATCAGCTAAAAAAGTTAATTTTTGGGTAAGTTACTCTTTAAAATCTCCCATGCAGGTATCCCAAAACAGCTGTACCCCTCTAGCCTGGCCCTTGTCTTCCTACGCAGTTCTGCCTAATTCTAGTTTTGCTTCACTGCTCCGTCTGGGATTTCTCCCATAGACAAGGATTTCTTTGGGAGGATTTTGTCCAGGCCAATCAGAGAACAGAACATCTATTTTCTGCTCAGTCTCTGCTAGTTAGTTTAGCAAATGGCAGTGGAGGAAGTGAATGAAACCAGTCCGTGTTGATGAGGCTTCCAAATTAAATTAAAATTGTCTGACAAAGCAGCAGCTCACATTTACAGTCGTCTCGTTCAGCTCGGTACTTTTCTCCTTTCAATAGGGTTGTTTACAGCGCACGCAATTTACAGTTAGCTTCTTAGCTTAGCCTCCTTCACGGTGGAGCTGGCACTTGCGGCCAACTAATCCAATAATTTTAAACTTCAGCAGAGGCCATGCCTCCAGCAAGAATCACTTCTCTATAGCCGAGAGTCCAGACCCTCATACAAAGCACAGTGAAGGATAGGGATGGGTACCGAATTCGATACTTTTATAAGTACAGACCAAATTCTGTCGGTACTACCGAGAACTTATTCAGGTAACATCAAACGGTACCATGTTTCGATACCTAAACTCATCATTGCGACCGTGTTGGCGTAAGAGTGGTGAGTTTTCTATGCTTGTCCTGAACGCAGCATTGCGCAAGAGCGTAATGCCATCAGCACCCGCTGGTTCAGTAAATAGAGTTCAGTCTGAACGTAGCTTGAAAGTGTGAGCCTCGCAGCTTGCGGCTCCTAAACTCGTCGAACAGATCATCTCTGAATTATCTGGTGGATTAATTATCTTGTGAGCATGACGTTCGCTTGCTCAAAGTAAATAAAATACCCCCACTATCTTTATTTCATCCGCCATTAAACAGAGACCAACAGAGGAAAACAACAGAGGCACTTGCCAACAGTCCGAACGCGTCTGACCTGAAAGAGCACAAGCAGCCGAAGCGTTTTGGATGCTCAAAATGTAGCTTGAACACCTTTTATTTATTTTAACTCAGTCCTCTTCTACTTATTTGATTTAAACCTATTTGCATTCCATGGACCTCCATCACACAATTTTTCTAGCGGGGAAATGACCTCAAAAGAAATACATGGAGCTGGATTTGGATATTTGCTATAAGATAAAACAGTCTTGTTGTTTTCAAGAGGTTGCACTTTAAAGAAACAAGTTACACAACTGATGTTACAATACATAGAGTTGGATGTTGTCTTGATATTTGTTAATTTATATATTGAGACATAATTTATTAATTTATAATTTAATTTATATTTTGAGACACTTGTGACAACTTGGTAATAATTTTGAGAGAAATTTTGTCACAATTTTTTTGTGCATTTATATGTTGAGACATGTGTTAAAAATGTTTATTTTTAAAGAAAAACAACATACACAAAATACCAAAAATTGGTACCGTTAAGTACCGGCACCGTTTCCCAGTACCGGATATTGGTACCAAATCGATTCAAATGCCAAAGGTACCCATCCCTGGTGAAAGGACAAGGGTCTGGTTTTTACCAGGGTAGTACCCCTCTAGAATTTGAGGAAACTAAATTGAGAACATTTTGAGACACTTGTGACAACTTGGTAATAATTTTGAGAGAAATTTTGTCACAATTTTTTTGTGCATGTTCATTATAGGGGGATGAAATTGAGAGAAAAAGAGTTCTGGTAGTCAGTAACATTTTTTTTTTTGCCAAGCGGAGGGAAAATGGAATCACTCAATTCTGAGGAAAAAAATATGGAATCATGAACACATCACTAGTATTTTGTTGCACCACCTTGTAAACTTAAACTTAAATTAAAAAATTAACCGTTACTGACTACCACATTTTTTTCCTTGATTTCTTTTAGTGTTTCTTAAAGCCAGAAAGTTGCCATTTGAAATTACTTTAGTTTTGTGTCATGTCTGTGATCTGCTTTTTTTTCTACAAAATTAAACAGTGGAATGAACATCCTCTGAGGCTGGTGATTCCATATTTTTTTTACCAGGGGTTGTATTGCCAGCTTTACCACGATACTAGATTATATTGATTTATTTGGATGAGTTAACGATGTTTGTCTGTATCACAAAGTCACAAAATACAATTTCAATAAATAAATAAATAAATTCACAAGTCTGCAATTGATGTGATGACGATATGGATATATCAATATATAAATTTAGTTTGGTGTATTTTTACACCCCTAGTTCATAATTTCAAGTTTGAAAGTCTCTGTGATTCACTTGAGAGAATTAAGAAATGTTTCAGGGCTTTTGAAGACTCCTTAGTAAACTGTTTGCCAAATAATCACCAACAGTTGCTGCCCAGTGAAAACCTACCTTTTTAAAGAGAGACATGTTTCATGTTTTAGCAGTTGTTTTCTATTAGCAGTTTTTAATGTTGTAATACTCATGAAGCTCTACTGATTGGGAGAGAACAAAATGATTGAAGTCATATTGTATCCAGACAAGCACAAACATTTTTTTTATCATAACTCAAATGCTCAATAGTCAGACACATTCAGACTTTGACTCTTAATAATCGTTGGTTTCACCTTTAAAGAAAAATGATGTCAGGACATCTGTGATTTTATATTTTAGTAGAACAGAAAGAATTGCACAGTTAAAATTACCTCTTTTTTCAACTAGAAACATTCAAAATCCAAAACTTTACAGTTAATTTTAACTTTGGATCGGCCTTAAAGCTTCTGACCGTGTAATGGTAAAAGGTCTGAACATGACCTCATAGCGTTAGACAAGAGGAATGCAGTGAAAAAGGGTAGCAACAGGGAGGCTAAATATAACCAGATGCTTGGTTTGAGATCTGCTACATTGTTGTTACCCCAGGTAACATTCAGTTATTCCTGACAAGAATGCTCACGCCTGATTCAAAAAAACAAAAACAAATGGATGTCTCTAATTTTATTTTTCAAGAGCTTAGGCTAAATAAAAGTGGACGCAGTTCAGCTCCTAAACAGGAATTTATCACTTTTATTTACATGAAATCCAACCTCTTCTAGGAACACTCGTTTTCTTGCCTCCAATCGTCACCACTGACCATAATCCAGTTTAGGTTGTGAATGCACTTAACTCAGAGGCTTTAACAAATGATTTTCCCTTGTTTTTATTTATTTATTTATTTATTTATTTATTTTTGCAGATGGCTCTGAGGGAGAGAAGAAAACGGTGCAAGAGGAACACTCAACAGGAGAAACAAAGAGGACAAAACCAGCAAAGAGGAAAAGAGTAGCAGAGAAAACTGTTAAAGCTAAGAAGAAAACTGATAGTCAGGTTGTGCTTTCATTATTGATGTAGGAAAATGTTGAATGAAATCTAATAATCTGCACTTTGTATTCACATTAACTATAAAACCAGTCAGTTTTACCACTAGAGAAAGGAAATATCAGTGTTGGCTGTTTTTGATGACATTTTAATAGACATATCCATCCATCCATCCATCCATTTTCTGTACACGCTTCTTCCTTTTCAGGGTCGCATGGGTCACTGGTTTCTAATAAAATATTATTACTGTAGAGTTAAAGCTAAACTGGAGCCAGACATTATACTGTGTGTGATTGTTTATGTAAGTTTAACAACTTTGCTCTTTTTTAATTTCTCATTCATAATATTTGAGTACTCTTTCTGGTAATTGATTTAATCTAGAAGTAATTCTGTTGTAAATATTTCTGATCTGTGCTGGCAAAGTGAGAAACAATTGTCAATATTGACTTAATATTATTTTCAAATTCGCCATCTCAGAAGTATCAAAATGATGCATATTTTCTCTAAATTTGGCAATTTGGCACTTGGCCTGGCAACAAGCAAGTTTTGTTTATGAGAGTACCAGTTTGTAAACTTATATATATATAATAAATAACACAAAGGTGCCAGTCGTGCATATCACACTAGTCTGGTCTAAAATGTAATAAAAAAAAAAAACAACATACACATTGTGTCAAGTCTAGAGGAGACGACGTTTTATGCAAGAAGCTATATAAAAAATAAATGTTTTGTCTACCTTAGTGGTACTTCTGACAGTGAAAGGAGGCCAGGGTCTCATAAGTGGGCAGTATGAGGTGTTTCAGGTGTAAGCAGGTCTCTAGATGATCATCAATCTTTGTGGATCTGTTCTTGGACTTGATGATTTTCATGTGAGAGAAAGCTGAATCCAGAACTCTCCATCCATGCGACTTGTTGCTTTGGATTTGATCTCAATGTCATTTTGCAGAGTCAAAACCTCATTTTGAAACACCAGAGCAGTCCAGACTGAAACACGGACACGAATTTGGACATATCCATCCATCCTGGTGGACAACTGCACATCTTCAATAGGATCTCACTTTTATTTTTAAAATCATGAAAAAGCGCATCTGCAGCCTCAATAAACTCTTCTTTCATGACTTCTCCATGGCTGAAAGACTTCTTATGTTGAGACAGAATGCGGCTAACACGGTATGAGGCTATTGTAGCAGCCTTACCTTTTGTACTTGGCTGAGGGAAAATCTATTGTTGGGCTGCTAGCTACGTTCCTACCCTCATCTATGGTCATGAGCTTTGGGTCATGACCGAAAGAACGAGGTCCCGGATACAAGTGGCCGAAATGAGTTTCCTCCGCAGGGTGGCTGGACTCTCCCTTAGAGATAGGGTGAGAAGCTCGGTCATCCGGGAGGGACTCAGAGTAGAGCC